TAAACATAATCCTTTTTATGTTTATAATATTTTTTGTAATCACAACTGGTATCGATGCTAAAATAATTTTTTAACAGTTTAGAAAAGCAAAACACACACAGTGCAAACAAATAAACAAACAAAAAACCACAAAATTTGTTATACAATGTATCATTTAAGTTTTTTTATCGCGCTTTTCTTTTTACTAGATAAGAAAGTACGTAATTAATATTTTTGAAAATAACCTCCGACTACAGCTACACGTCGACGCGACTTTTTCTCTTCGCTTTTCTTTTGTTCTTCGCCATTTTTTTTATCTTCGCCTTTCTGAATCATATAAACCGAGATGCTGAAGTCAATGTAACGCAAGTAATAATAACTGGATTGATAATAAATAATGACGAAAGTAGGCAACTCTTGCCTAAAAACTCATTTATCTCATAATATCTTATCTTAAAACTAACATCAAAACAATTGACAGAATAGAATATAAATTCATAAAATTACAACAAAATAATAAGGCCTAAAATATTTTATAGATTATATTATTGAAATATTAAATTTCATTATTTTAAATATATAAAATGAATACCTTACCTGTTTGCGAAAATAAAAGTTTTGAAACTTCTAATTCCATTTAAAATTGCTTTACAAATCTTTGCGATCCACAGCTTCAAAATAAAGAATAAATAAATTAAATATTTTGATATTTTACTATGTTTTCAGAACCTGAATCAGTATTTCTGTATTTTAACAGTTCGTATAAACTTTGTGCATAAACATACCAGAAGAGTAAAATATTGGGAACTTTTTAAAAAGAATTTCAAACAGGAACAGTTTTTACAGGTGAAGATATTCGAAGCAAACCATTCGGATACTTTCTTTAATTTATCTCCAAAATATAAACAATATAATGAATATAAAAAAACTATGGCAATACGCTGATCAGCTGACTGTGTCCACGCCACACACATTCGCCTTATCTTCACTGAAAATTGCTTCAAATATATGGAGAATGTACAATGTATTAACGTCAGTTTTAAGATATTCTGTTTTCTCTGTTTTCAGTGTAGACAAACTATCTTTTTTGTATTTCTTCTAAGCTTTCTATGCGTTATTTAAAGACTAGAAAAGATAGTTTCGATTTTACTTTTAGTACAGATACTATTATTATTACTGTCGTCCTCATAGTTTTATCATCAAAGGAGAGAACTCAAAAAGCAGAAGTCGGAACTCAAACTTTAGTAATTAGTAATTTCAGTTCTTAGAACAACAATAAGTTAAGTAATTAAATCTTCATAGTTATTCCTCGGGATTAAATTTTTATTAGAACGTTATATCATCACGGTTGAAGTACCACAGAAAAATGATTTGATAATTCTTATAGCTTTCCTCTATTGCGAAATGATACGACAGTTAGAAAACAATGCTTTTCCAAAACCATAATTGTAAACAGTTGATTAGAAAGAATATATGCATTAATTCTGATTGTTTGACAGAAGTTCAATAAGTTTTTCTTTGAGAAGGTGTAATTATTTTTTATTATTTATTATTTTCATGTTATAAATCCTTTAAAAGTTTTTTGGTATCTTTAATTTTGTCCATCTATGAGACTTTTGATGAAATTCTGTTCGTGAATGTATACGAGCCAGTTTCCCTTAGAAAGTCCTCCCCGAAGGCATCCCTCCCTTTAGGCAGATAGCCCTCGTGTGCTTTACCGTAATTGAATAACCCACTGTTGGTGAAGGCTTCCTAACTGCATAATATTTCTTCAGTATTTTATCAATTTGAGAATCAGTTAGTTCAGAAAAATATGAATTAATTTCATACATTTATCTTCTGAAAAAAACTTTATCCTCACAGATAACTAAATTAGGACATAAATAAAACAGCTCTGATATCTCTCTTAGACTTCAGTTTTCATACCCAAGAATAAATTTAAATTTTCTAATAAGGACTTAATTAAATGAGAAATATAAAGTATCTTTAAATTTTAAAAATTGCAAGTCTCAAGTTCTTATCTACGTATACTTTGAAAAAAAAAATTGTAGTCTGAGAATACTGAAAAAAAAATCTGAGAAATTTTAAATGACATGCAAGAGTATTTACTCAAAACATTTCATGGTTTCACGCGAATTTTTAAACTTCTGATTATATTCTGCTTGTCTTTTCAGAACATGCTGAAGATTTAATAAGCGTTTACTTCATGAAATTTGTAGCTAGAAAAGACCCTGCTAAATACCTTATTTTAGTTCTCAGAGAATATCTTTTCTTAAGAATGATGTATTTTTATTTTTATTGCTTTTTACTTGCACCTGATACAGTTTTGAGTTATATTTATATACTGAATACTTTTGATTTCATAATTAGAATCTTCAAAATTTTCTTAATTTAACAAATTTTGCTAAACAAAAATGTCTAATTTTATAGTTTAAATTTAATGACTGTTACTTTAATAAACTTCCTTACTCAAAGCAAACATTTTTAATTTTATGCCATATTCCTTAGATGAAAAGAATATTTATTTTAACAATTATTAATTAAAAAGTATCAGTTATTGTCAAGAAAGAATATTAGTTAAATTCATTCTAACCAATGTCAGAAAATTAGCAAATCAGAAAGCAAAAAAACACACTAAATTTTAGTAAAAGATTCTTATTTTCAAGAAAGAAAATATTTCTTTTTTTTCCCTGCGTTTTGAACCATTTTTCACTCGATAAAAATTGATGAATATCCTTTCCTAGAAGATTGCTCCAGAATGATTAATAACATTTCTTTAAAACCTTCCTCCAGCAGAGATGAATAACTTTTCTCAGAAGTATATTTTTGAAAAATGTAAGCGCTATTTTTTATTTATTGATTGATACCTGAACTTAGGTATTATTATTTACATTATTTGATGATCTCGCATCCATGGAAAACCAGCATCCAATCAAAACCAAGCAAAGATAACATTGGTAAACTAGGAAATTGTTGCCATTTCTTTCATTACAATATTTTGTTTATCTTCTAACATCTGTGATGTCATACAGTTTCTGAAATTAGTTATTTTAATTGGCTAACAATAAACTAATTGGCTAACAATATGTGATGTATTGCAAACAACAAACAGTTATAAAAATTTATGAGTAAGCATTTTCCATTACATTACAAATTCATTAACTTTTCTATTTTTTACTTTTATTTATCAAATTATTTATATTTTATTTATGCCATTTATGAATTCTGCATTTTTATATTCCTTATTTATTTATTTTCTTTAATGCTTTTAGCATTTTCATACAGTCATCAAGACGACTTTTAAACGTAAAAACGAGACAGCTTGTACCATTCGAGTAAATTAGAATTTCGAAAAAAATCAGAAAAATCTATGGGTAGGTTTTAAGTTTACAGCTAAAAAATGTAGTTTAAATAGAAAATGTAATTTATTCTAACCCAAGAGAATAATAATGACGAAAGTTGGCAGCTCTTGCCTAAAAACTCATTTATATACATAAATGGCAGTTTTAAGAATAGTTGGAATTTTTAGTGTTCTATAATGCGTATCTGATTTTTATATATCAACAATTCAATTCGAAAGGAATAATAGATATGATTATCATTCTTTTTAAAGTAGCAAAGTCTATATATATTACATTTTGCTTCCTGTCGCTGTATTAGCTTCATCATCATTCAAAAAAAATTTGAGCTTAAGAAAAATAAACTAAAAATGCTAAAACTTTAAAGGTAAAATATTAAATTTTTGAATAATATTTAGTTTTATATATATAAATATAGATACAGAAATTATTCTTCAGTTCATTTTAAATGCATTTTTATTTAATATAAAAAAATCGATAACTGTTTAAGGCGTTGATATTTATGTTGTAGATTTCAATTAAACGTAATTTCTGTGATGAAAGAACAAAGAACATAATCAGCTACTCTTGCAACATATCAGCTCCCTGTCTATAAATACGAGAGATATCTAGCTTATAAATAAATGTCTGAAATATTATAGCTCGTCTAGACACTGTAATAAGGCACATCTGATGGAGGAGTAGAATTAAATCCTGTTAATAAGGCTAGCGGCGATATTAAGATTTTTCCCATAAGAAATAGAATGTTTACCTAACATAAACAGAATTTACATGTGTGCGTAATACTGAACTTAAATCATTTTTTATTTATTTCAGCCGGCAAATAATGAAAGTAAAAATCAATATGGAATATGTATTTATATTTGTGTATGCATATTTTGCATGTTGCATTACATTTTGCTCTTTATGCACATTTTGCATGTTGCATACATATAATTTATTTACTAAAGTAAGACTGATTATATTCTGTCCTAAAATAAATTTAGTAATGCATCTAAATGAAGTAATTCAGAATTATGTAATTTAATCCCGAGAATAATATTTTTAAAGGAACTTGAATTTAAATAATGAAAAATAGAAACGCAAACTTTTAATATGAAAATTAATAAACCATGTAACTATAGTCATTGATAGGAAATTGGTTGACGTTTCAAGGGAAATATATCTATATATATGTGTGTGTCGTATACTCCCTTTTATTTATAAAATTAATAATTTTTATACCATTATAATGCATAATGCACAAAAAGCAAATTCATCTAATCGTTATTATATGTAGACAAATAAATCACATCTCCATATGTTTAGTTATTTTATGCAAATGTAACGCACAGAATTGCATTTGTAAAATTAGTTTTAGAAACATTTAAAACATTTGAGCTACTGTTCCCTGTTTTTGTTCTACAATGAAATTGAATTTTCATCATGAATAAAAAAATATTCTGCTTCAATGGAATTCGTGTTCCCCTTTCAATGGAATTCAATGGAATTTATTCGAAAACATTTAGTACATTAAGTGCATGAAGAGATTGACATATGATGAACTGTTATTGTTAGGAGAGTTATTTAAAAACCGTATTATTTATACGTGGTTTCAGACAATACTCAAGAAATAGCCATAATTACTATATAACGAAAATTAGAGAAGTGTACTTGCTTGCATTTATTTTAATTCTTTTATTTACTTGCCAAATACAAATTTTAGGGAATATTTCGTTTTCACTCTAAGGTACAGCATGTTGTAGATTTAGTTACAGTATTCTTATATTTGTTAAATTTTATTGGGAAAAGAGATAGTTCCTAACTTTTTCCACTTTCTTCCATTGGCTAACTTTCTCTTCCATGGGAATCAAAGTAAATTGGTGTGTAACTGAGAACAGGCTGAAAGAAAAAGCATAGTTTTTAGAAAATTAAAATATGCTTACATACTTAGTAAATAAATTTAATATATAATCAAACGATATATGAAAAAGTTGAAGATATATACATAAATTTCAATTAAGATAAAAATTATGCATAAGAATGCAAGTATTTGAAATTTAATACACTAATGTAGGTCGGTAGTAAAATAACCACAAGAAATTGATGCAAGTAAGAAGAAATAGTTAATTAAGTATATATATTTAAAGATACTTTATATGTCAAGTAAGGAATATGTGAAACAGATTTAAATTTGGTTATTTCGTCTTTATGTACTAAAATCAGTAGCATGCTTATAGACTTCTAGTGTATCATACACGTGTCTAGTGTATCAACTTAAAATTAATCCCTATTATATGATCCTTATATAAATTTCAGAATACATGTACTTGCATTATGAAAAAACCCGTTTTTCGTTTTAAAATGTTAAATTTTACAAACCAAAATCTTTATTATCAAATTGAAATAAAGTGAAACTGTAAATTTACGCACGTTCTCATTATAAACTAACTACTCCAGTTTCTTCTAGCTCTTCTGTGCTGACAACTTTGTATCCACCACTATTGTTTTTTTATTTTAAATTATTATAAAAGTGTGAAAAGTATGAATGATATTAGACTCACATTTAGCGCCAATTAAGCTATGTATTTTTCTTCAGGAATAATTATATTTTTTCGAGAATAAAATAGTGCTATGACTTACTTTCTATCTCTCTCTATATATATGATATTTTGACTGGTATATATATATATATACAAGTCATACAAAATGACCACTGTTCTAGATATTATAAATTGTAATTAAAAGGATTTGTACAAAGGTGTCTACTAATTCAAACTGAATTACCCAGAGCAGGCGGCGATGACGCCTCTTTGCTTACTGCCCCACAGGGTTTTATAAATAAACGTGTGTGGGTTGAAAGGTAAGAATGCCGATTTTAGTACTTAAAAGTTTATTCCACTTAAATAGGTAATTAAGAAAATAAAATGGAACCATTACTCCTACATTTGTTTTGATCTACAACTATTATTGCTTCCAAAGAAGAGGATCATATGCCTCTTGCCCCAATCTTAAATTTTGGAGGATACTTAATTTAAGGATACTTATTTTCCCAATTTTAAATTTTGCTTTGGCATTTTTATCTTCTATTTACCTCACACAGATTAAGTCGATAAGATATCTTATGTAAACGAGAGAAATTTAAGACAACATTATTTTAAAGTAATTTCAAGTCCATATATCTGGCCTTTGTTTTCAATTGTAATCTAAAATTCTGTTACAAGTTGTGTCTTCTTTCACTTCCATCTAATTCTCGGCTTCCACTTGCAAAGGAAGTTTCGGAGAAAATTGTATTTCGCTTGAATAAATTCGCAGCTCTCATTTCAAAGCACTCACGAGAGAAATTTACATAAACTTTAGCGAGTTAAATTCACAACTCTGCTTTAAAATTCCTTTCCGTAAAGTACTAGCTACAAAATCTAAAGGAAATTCGACTGGTACGTTAACTTGTTAACCCAAGTGAAATAAATTTGAATCTCGTATGACACGTCGTTCTAAAGGTGGACTTACCATTTCAAATAAAATTTTAATTATTGGTTGAGTACAGTAAAACTTCCAACTTAATTTACTGGGATTAAAAATTATTGAGAAATAAATTTAAATGAAGTTTCTTATCTCCGTCGCAGTTTATTTCCAATGTTTTTTCGGAAGACAGCTTCGTTCCGTTGACTCTGAAAAATGTGCTTTAATTTATACAATATTTTTATGTACAATCTTTCCTATATTTTTACTATTTTTTCTGCACCACTAGAATATATAAATGAGGTATCTGTTGGCAATAGGAGAGAGAATTAAAATTTGAGAGAAAAAGTTTACAACCTTTGCTTGCCGTAACTTCTTTTGCTATGGCCTGCTTTTAATGTTATAATTACATGCTAATAGGTGCTTTTGATTGATATGAAGTCAGTAGTGGAACAGCGAAACCAGACTTCTTAAACGTTGAAGTTGATTGTATTCAATTGCTTCAACTTCAAACTGAAGTCCAAACGAATCGTTTAGTGCTTTTACATTATTGCAATTTCTTTGTGTTCTAGTATTTTTACTTCCTTGTACGAAGTAAAAAGCAAGTAATGTAATCGCGAAAAGTTTCAGGCAGCATATTTCAACGAAAATATCCATTTTGACCGATATCCAATGCAATTTAACGATGTTTTTGCGTCATATCTGTACGTAAGGACAGAATAAATACTCTTTTCCTTCAAAAAAATTATAAAACTGCTTTTAAAATTAATTCTGAAAGAGAATTTTTCGTGGCGTCTGTACGAACGTATGTACGTACGTGCGTATGTACGTATCTCGCATAAGTAAAAAACGAGTAGCCTCAGAACGTTGAAATTCTGTATATAGGACTGCTATAACATGTAGATGTGCACATCGTATTTTGGTTTTGCAATCGGCCCGCAACCAAACGTATATAATTATATTTATATATATATCCACTCAGTGATCTCAGATTTCTTTACTCCTTATTGTTTGTAAATTGTACATTTTTTGCTTTAAAATGATTGTATTATGTTGTTTTTATATCTTCCGGTTAAGTTTTTATGCCTTTAGTAAATCTGTATGCAATATTTTTAGAATTATCAACAATTTTAAAGTTGTTAATTGCCGCTAAGCCTGTTTTTAATGGCGGCCATGATGTTACATTTGAAACGGAGACTAGTGGATTTGTTGCCAATCTAGAGAAAACTTAGCTTCGCAACAACAAAGATAACGCATTCATTTATTATTGCCAATTAAATCATGCTTAATTCTTTCTGGAATTTTTTCGAGGAAATAAGCGTTTGAGATTTACTTCGTAATTTTTAATATAGATATTTTGAGTTTTTATGTATTTTTGCCTTCTCGCGAAGTGAGAACTGAATTCATTAAATGAGAAATACTCAATCGTCTGTAAAAAAACTGTTTCTTTTTTGTTTTGTTTGCTTAATTTCTTTTATATATCATTCTATCTTTATTATAGTATTTGAATAGAACATGTGGCAACGATTAGATAATTCTATTCTTTAAATGATATAAATTTTGTGCATTATGAGTTATAATATGAACGAAATATATACTTTAACTGTTATATAATTACTGGATTATATAATTGTTAACTTAGTTTCCGTTATATAATTATTATATAAGTTAACTGTTATATAATTATTAATACTGTTAAGTGAATGTAGCGCCAGAGTGTCGCTATGGTAAACAAATACTAGAGTGAATTTTAAAGAATGCATTTATTCTATTGTGGTTTATGCGCTGTCGGCGAAGTAGATTTAATTCAATCCAATAAGTTTAAATGAAATGCAAGAAAAAATGCGTATAATTTAATATTCCAATTTAATATTTCAATACAAGGAAGTCATGTGGTGTACACATCAGATTTTTTTTCTTATTACGTGCTCCGCCCTTAGGCACTACACGAAAAGAGAGGGAAGCCCCGTGGAGGTCTTTTTAAGGGAAACTGGCTCTTATCCACGTTACACATGAGGAAAACCACGAAAACGCCCATGCAGCCAGCCCGTTCGCTTTCAACCCCGGACCGAACTACTAGTGCTCAGCGGCTTTTACCTCTCGACCGCTGGTGTTCGTGTTCTAGTATTTCAAGAGTAAAAATAGAAGGAGGCAATTCATACAGTCAATCTAAGAAATTTAAAGTAATATTGAAGTTAACTAATAGTACTGGAGTTGATTAATTGATCATTATAAAACTTTCTTACATTTTACAGAGTTATATTTAACTTGATTTCTTTGTCTGTTTGAGTGGAAACATAAAATTAACTTTGACCACCTTCTAGAGATCCAATTTTCTTGAATGTTTTCATACATAACTGTTTTCAAAGGAAATACAACATTCTACAGGAAATGTTTGCAAAATTCAATGTATTTTTTTCTTTTAATCTGTAATTGTTACCACAAATCCTTATTCGAATTAACTATTCCAAATTAATCATCCCAAAATTTGATCATAACATAAAAATGAAAAGACGTTGACCAAAAGAATGTTGTTCGAAATTTCTAAAGTTTTATTAAATCAGGTTTCTCTGCTTCTCAGGTCAAATCTTGAAATTAATGTTCATTTTTGAAATGTTGACTCTTGAAATTAATGTTGATCTTGGTATCAATATTATCAGCGAATATTTTTTCTTGAATTTTTCACTTATATATATTTTCGATAAAAATGCAATACTTATCAGGAATTTTTCCAACGTCGATATAAATATCTTTTTACTTAATCATCCCCAAAACCCTCCTTTAATGGTCCAAATAATGATTGCAGAATATGATCTTTATACCATCGAACAAAGAGAGAAATGATCATGCAACTAAGTATTTTTGGGATTTCATAACGTAATTTACTAATGTTTCATAGTTTTCAAAAATTACTAGATATATATATATGACTAAGATTCAATTAAAGGATCTTTTAAAACAATTGACCTTTTATTGTTAGAAGTCTTGTGATTTTAAATGTTGACAACATATGATTCTTAAATCAAATAGAATAATATGAACTGAATTGAATCTAACCTCAGATTGGAAGAATAATGGAAAATTTTTAAAGGAATGGTTTTCTTTCTCTATTATTTTTCCTCGTGAATGAATGTATCTGGTAATTTAAGTCATCAAACTTTGGTGCTTTTCCAAAATTGCTGGATACTTTTAGTTATCATCCAATGTCGAATTTTTATAAAAAGCCATTGACTCTTCACTATTGCATTATTGCAGATTTATTGCCTTCACTATTGAAGCCTTCAAGTTTTAAGTAATGGTGACACATCCATCCATCCATACATACATTTCTAAATCTGGTCCCGATAACTGAAAAGTACCTAAGAATTTAAAAGAATTGAATATAATTAGATTGTAAGGAATAATTTTGATTTGTAGAGAAAAGATTTTTTTTATTGCCTTCCGCAGTCAATAGACCTAAAAGCACATAACATTAAGTAGATAAAAGAACTTTTTTTAATACGATTTTAACTAAAAGCACTAAAGGAGTAAAAGATCATTAGGCTATTATAATATTATTGGTTTTATTGAACTAAAACTTCTCATGTACGAATTACATTAGGGCATTAGCAGCATTTAAAAGAATAACGGAAGTAATAGTATAAAAATGCTAAATATAAGTATTGGCCTTAAGTTCTCTTAAATTTCTTTTTGACAATTTTGATTTAAAATAAGCCATTGTTGGCAACTCCGTGATTATATTTTTAGCTTCGTATGACCAAAAATATCACAATAACTATGGAACTTAACTGTCGCTCTTAAATTACTTTTAATTAAACCGCTTAAAATGCATTTATGTATTGTTTTTATCCTTTTTCTGACTACAGTAGAAGTGTTTAAACATATTTAATTATTTAATTAAATTTATCTATTTGTTTCTTGCATTAAAACATTTTATTTATCTACTGCATAATTTTTATTGTGAAGAACATAGTAAACATTTTCTTAATATTAATAAATTAACAATTTTAACCTACTTTATAATTACACAACCTAGCTGCTTATAAATACCCTTGTTTCTTCAAGTTTAAAACTCTTTAATTATTTAAAAATATATTAAAAAACTACATTGTATTTCACTTCTCTTACCTCCTTGATTAAAGATAAAAAATTTGGTTGCAAGGCATTTCTATTCAATATACATAACTTTTATTTAACATTTCTTTAGAATTTAAAATTAATTAAAACCCTCTGAGCGGTACAGGCTCTTGGATCTGCCATAAAGACTTTTATTTATGCAGCATTTATTAGCTATATTTATATAATTACATATTTTAACCTGTATTTTCATAAACTTACATTTACATTATTAAAGAAAGTAAGAAAGAAAAATATCTTAAATTGTAAGCTAATATGTATCAAGTAACATAAAATGTCATGACCGAATAAAGCCGTCATGCCGCTCAGAGGATTAAAACATAATCTCTTTCAATTAAAATGTGAAGATTATATAGTAGAACTCTGATTATCTTTCATTCTCCGTAACGCAGGGCTGTTTTGACAGTAAACAGAAATTCTTCTCACAGCCATTGCACCAGATATGGGAAGTCGGAACTAGATATGAATAAATGGAAAGTTAGATTTATTTTAGAATATGTAGTTAGAATAATTACAAATAAAATATTTAAAATAAATCCAGATGAGGGATTTGTAATAAATCCCAAAGAAATATTTAGAATGAATCCAAAACCCTTCTCTAGCTGAAACCGATAACGATCAAACATTTGTGGTTTTAAATTTTAACTTGATTTAAAATAAAATATGGTAGTGTGCTTTTGATATATCCCAGTAGCCAAAATATATATACATTTTATAACCAAAGCCTCATGTGGCTACTTCCACAGTCTAACCAAAGACCTCATCATGGTAAATTTATAAATTACCCTTTTTTTTATTTATTTTTTTTTTTTTTATTTTTTTTTTTTTTTTTTTAATCTAAGATCGATTGATTTGCGTTGATTGTACGAAAACGATAAAGGACATTTAATTCTCTCCTATCGTACTTTTGATGTTCTTTAATTATGTTTTCGTCAAAATGATTTAAAAATGCTTGGTATGACCAGACTACAGAAATTATCTATTTTTATGAATACTAGACTGCTGTACCCTGTTTTGTTTGCTTTACTAATGTATATAACGCTTAATTAACTTACTATTGTAAACCTCGTATTGCACATTTGTGGTGCACGGAGATTTTGAATGTGTTCAAGGACGAGGGGGTGGAGAGATTATTGAACTCCCTAACAGTGAAGGCACGTTTTGAAAAGAGTGTATGGCAATCAGAAATAGATGTAATTACTGAATATCAATTTGCTTTTATGCTAGGCTGCTTCAGCTTTGAAAAGAACTAATTAGATGAAGCATTGCTCTATAGGCTGGCTCTCACTTTCAATGGTGTGGCTTTCTGATTACAGTTAAAGTGAAAGAAAGTGAAGGAGTCATTGGGCTGTCAGCGATACGCAGAATCACCCGCCTGTCTAAAATGAACGTCAGGCCCTGTTCAGCCACTGAAAGAACACTTACTTTTTTATTAAACAGGACAGGGAATATAACATATAGAAAAAGTAAAAACTAAAATAGAAAAATGATTCCCACTCGGCGGCCGAGTAATGCAATCGCTGTTTGCAAAGAGACTGGAGCAACAGCTTCCATTAAAAGCGTCCCCCATTCCCCCAATGAGCTGGGAGTCACACAAATATCGCGTTGTCATAGTTACGCCATAGTGTCTCCTCTAGCTCGTTTCGCTTAAAAGCTTCGGAGAGGGTGAGGAACAGCCCCTTTCCTTTCTGGATGGTGACAGCTTGCTGGTAGAGACAGATCCACCGCCACGCGACTCGATTTTTGAAGGGCGATTCATCCAAGAAGGTCTCAATCATGCGCCGATGCACAACAATGAGTCATGCCCATGAAATGAGCGATAATTTTCTATTCCAGCGAGAATGAATCATGACTTCACAAGAAGTAAAGCGTACCCAAATTCATTATTTACATTCCAAGTGCAAATATTACACTGCCCAAGGGAAGCAGTATGGTACTGATAGCAAAATGATTGCATCGTTTAAGAACAATCTGTCAATATGCAAAAAGAAATTATTCGTTTCTGGTGTCTAGTGAACTAAGAGAAATTTCAAAGTATCTTAAGTTTTATTCGCTCGAAATACATAGGGAAGGGACTTAATTATTCTTTATAAAATTTCAACATGGGTTTTACTTTCATACAAAATCATGTTGCGTAACAAAAGAGTGTAATTTATAATTACCGTTTGAATATTAAACAAAATTTTGCTTAGACAGACGAAGTGAATTAGAGTGTTTTGTTTGCTAGGTGTTGTTAAAGAGTTTGAAAAATTCTTAGCTAATTGAAGGGAATTGAAGCTAATTGAAGGTAGAACTATATAAGACGTTATTCCAGAAAAAGAAAACGTATTATTGCGAAACACATCTAACGATATTTTTGCATGATATTAACACATTGTTGACATTATACTGCGAAATGAATCAAGCTTCGGTTTCCTCACATTTCATTACACATATTAAACATAAATATACTGTTACGTGCGTATGGGTTCATAATGCATTGAATGCACACAGAACCGATGACAGTCTGATAAAAGTTATTTTCCCAAAAGAAACACTTTACAGTTCTGGAATTTTACACAAAATTACTCATACAGCTCTTCATAGTCTTACAGAGCACAATCTGTAGTTACCACCTCAAACCAATAAGAATCTTAAACACAAGCAATGGAAAGTGCATCTAAACAGGTTTCAGGTGAAAGCGGGTCCGAGCACCCGGGCGGCTTACATACACTAATCGGGTATTGTCCGGATCCCGTAACTGCTTAGTACGACATCCCCGACGCCCCAGAAAGTACTCATGGGGAAGTTTATTAAGATGCTACATATTCTGATGAAGACATTAAACTATACATTTTACACATTGTTATGCTATACAGATAATAAATAAGGGCAACTAAACAGAGAAGCTCGCACGGAGATCTCAATACTCTGAACTGAAAAATCTGAGAACTGATGCTCTCTCCGGTCTTATGTAGTTTACCCCTGGCAAGGCACATACATATAAGGGCCGAATACGGTTACAGTTACATAAGTATTTAAGTCAATTACAGTTATACAAGGGCCGGATCATAAAGTCGCTAAATGCTGCCACGTTTGGAAACTTTTGACTGTTTCTCGCCAAGTTTGATTATAAGAATTAGTTACTATCCCCACCTTGGCGTCATGGCCGTTTACCTTAATGTTAAATAGTGCCCCTGTAATCTTATGTTTTTGGCAGAGCTCCTTCTCTTGAGCCATTTCATGTTATGTTATACAAAAGATACTACAATTTTACATGTAAGTTGACTAAAATTATTTGCATATGTACAAAATTCCTAACAATACTTTTTGAAAGAAATGTAAATACTTTATTAAAACTGTTTGATGAAATTAGTAGTAATACTGCTGTGATATTAGTGTGGTACTTGTCAATACATTGACCTTCTGAAGAGGAATTAAGCAGAAGTTATAGATATATCTCGTTACATCCTTCTTTTTATATGCAATACATAAAGGATAATTATCCCACTATAAACCTTCCCCCTTGCAGAGGAAGGGGGTACGTTTTCACGTGGAAATAATTCTGATAAAGAATTTTGAAATAAGATACACTATAAAAATGAAATAAATCGATTTATGTTATATATTAACTATATATTTATTTCTTAAATACCATCGAATGACAGATGTTAGTCATTCAAATTGTTTTAACAAATGAATGACTAACTATTTGATTGCTGTTAGCATTTTAATATATATTTCTCAATTTTATCAGATTCCAAAATACGAAAGTTAATAATAATTAATATAATTAAATATCCATCAAACAATGACTGTTTCTTTTATGCGCAAGTGTCCCGTTTTTCGATTTGTATGGAACTATCTTGTGTGGAAATACTATCAAACCGCTGTCAAGGGAGCTTCTGAATGTAAGCAAAAAACCCCTGATCTGGCGACCGAAACCTCAAAGCAGTGCTTTACTCATAGTGCGGGGTTGGCCCTTCCTTCCTTTCTTACCTCCATGTCTGTTTGTAAAAGGGCATACCCTCACGTTTGCGTGTCATCAGTTGAAGGCTCCCTTACCTCCTGAAGGATACTATTTCATTTGGATGATAGTGTAAAAATTTTCGCATCTGTTTTACCTCGAACCCAAGGTGTCCTGGCCCTCTGATACAAGGGGCATGTGAAATGTCGTACTATTTGTGTTGTTAATTGCA